AGCCATAATTTTACAGTAAAAATGAACTGTATGAAGGCCCATATCTTTAGACTGAAAGAAGAAGTTCGTTGATATCATCGCAAGAATAATCGACCACCTGTAAATTCCAGAGAGAAGCGTCCTATAAAACTCTCTAAACTCTCCTTCTAATTCCACTCACTGTCCCATTTGACAGTTTCCACTTCTGCTTCGAATTCATCACTTCCCACTCTTTGTTGTTTTGTTTTTTGCTGATTACATGTTTGACATAACTCCAGTTTTGCTTTAGAAAATTACAGTAAAGACGGCGACCTTGATTTGATGGCACCCTGATATGATGGCATCCTGATCTAATGGCACCCTGATCTTATGGCACCTCAATCTGATGGCACCCTGACCTCATGGCAACCTGATATGATGGCACCTTGATCTGATGGCACCCTGACCTCATGGCACCCTGATATGATGGCACCCTGATCTGATGGCACCCTGATCTCATGGCACCCTGATCTGATGGCACCCTGATCTGATGGCACCCTGATCTGATGGCACCCTGATCTGATGGCACCCTGATCTGATGGCACCCTGATCTGATGGCACCCTGATCTGATGGCACCCTGATATGATGGCACCCTGATCTGATGGCACCCTGATCTGATGGCACCCTGATCTGATGGCACCCTGATATGATGGCACCCTGATATGATGGCACCCTGATCTTGTGGCACCTCGATCTGATGGCACCCTGACCTCATGGCAACCTGTTATGATGGCACCTTGATCTGATGGCACCCTGACCTCATGGCACCCTGATATGATGGCATCCTGATCTGATGGCACCTTGATCTGATGGCACCCTGACCTCATGGCACCCTGATATGATGGCACCCTGATCTTATGGTACACTGACCTGATGAGACCCTGCTCTAGCAGCACCTTTTTTCTGGTGACAGCCTGCTGTGGTGACAACCTGCTGTGGTGACAACCTGCTGTGGTGACAACCTGCTGTGGTGACAACCTGCTGTGGTGACAACCTGCTGTGGTGGCAACCTGCTTTTATTTTTAAGTGCGATCCTTTGTAAAAATCGACTGAGTAGCGAGCTCTGTTAAAGGTGCACTTTCTTACTTGTATTGCTCCCATTGCGGTCGGCACCTCCAGCACCCCACTTGTGACGCTGTTGCTCTATTAAAAGGCATCCCACTTTTTTGTAATCTTTACCTCAGGCCTCAGACACACTTCATCAGCCGCTGTAAACCTAAGGCCGTATAGAATACTTATCCGGATCCAATAGTTTTGTTTACTGTGATTCTGTGATTGGTGTTGTATGTTAGCACTGATGCATTGCCATTTGCTGTACCACTTCTCACTCAGTGCCCCAGCTCTTGGGGGGGGGGGGGCCCGGGGTCCGGGGTGCTAGAGAGACGATACCTTTATCTTGACTGATGTTTTGAAGAAAAACAGAGACCAACTCTTGGGGGTGGGGGATGCTTGTGAGGAACCTCATCTCTAAAGATTTTTTGAAGAAAGACAGACACTCCATGCTTTTAATCCGTCGAGATTAAGTGTCTCACTAGGGCTGGGGCACTGAGATAACTACTCCCTGGGAGACTACTTTTCTTTATTTCACACGGGTTTAAGGCTGGACACAAACTGAAACTGATGGGTGGACAAAAAACCTCCAGTTTGGTGATCCCTGATATCAAACAATCAAAAGATCAGTGGGCCCGGCGTCTCGATGTATGCCAATTGGGAGACAACTCTCGGGTCATTAGGGGATGGGCTTAACACAGGTTAATAAAGGAGCCCTAAGCGGTGGTAAAAGCAACACGAAAAATTTGGCTTATTTCTTATAAGACAAGTCTTATTTATACCTAAAAGGAGAGATCACACATAGCTGTCTTATTGGTGTGTGTGTTTGGGGGGGTGGGGTGCTAGAGACGGGGGCTACTGAAGGACAACACAGTTTTGCGGGACATTCTTTCTAGGAAGGGAAATCATGCGTCAATAACGACTTATCTACTCTGTCAACACAACGGGAAGGCAGCGGGACAGCGGAGGGAAAACAATGTTAACAAATTAATCATGAAGGGCTTGAAAAATCTCCCGCTAATTAGTTAGATGCACAAGTTTGTTAATGTACATTTGTTTTACCCTGTTGTAATTGAAGGTCTCTCCAGCTTTTGGCAATTAAAAAAAAAAATAAACAAGTTATCGCTAACTGGTTAGCCTGTCTCATTATGGGGGCCGTCCATAACGTACGTCACACTCCAGAGGGGGGAGGGGGTGTTAGAAAGTCTGACTGTTTGTGACAGGGGGAGGGGGGTCAGGCCACGTGTGACGTCACACATTTTTTTTTTTTTATATTTTATTTCTAATTTATTTTTTATTTTTTAGTAGAATTTAATAGCTTTAAAAATATAATTTTCAAAAATTGTGTGAAACATTTGAATAATGGGTGTTAGAAAGTCTGACTGTTTGTGACAGGGGGAGGGGGGTCAGGCCACGTGTGACGTCACACATTTTTTTTTTTTTTTATATTTTATTTCTAATTTATTTTTTTTTTTTTAGTAGAATTTAATAGCTTTAAAAATATAATTTTCAAAAATTGTGTGAAACATTTGAATAAGTTTCATGTCAAAAGAGCATGAAATGCGTATCTCCTGAATGTGTTGTTCACGATTCCTCTCGCTAGGAGCGCTAGTATACTGTTGCGAAGCCTTGTTTTATGTATAGCCTTGCAGAAATCAACAAGAGTTTTCAAAGTACAACTATATGATCTTTATTGTCAATCTTTGCAGACCAGCCTATTTGATCGAATTTGCAAAGTATGTCACTTATACTTTGCCTCACAAACAATGTTGAAGAAACATGCAGGACAACGCAGAGCTCGGACTTGGGAGAATGTGCCAACCCAAACTGTTCCAGAATCAACTCAGATAAAACGCATCAATCCTTTGAGAATCGCCGCTAGAAGGCAAAGACAACTCATGGCAGTTATTGCCAGAAGAGAAAATGCACATTGTGAGGATGTTGAGTGGATAGATGAGGATGAAGTTGATCTGTCTGCAAGTATCCTTCCAGGAAACGATGATGGTAAAAGATTAATGCCAGTTGTAAGTCGTAACTATGGATGAGAACTTCACTTCACCATGGATGGATGATGTCCAGTGAATATTTTTGAATTAAACATAATTCACAGGCCCATAATAAACAGTTTCAATATAGCACAAGAGTTTGTCACAAAATTTGTCAATCTAGTCTTTTTTTAGTCAAATTGTTTTGTTTCCTTTTTATTATTTAATCACTGGGTGAGGTCAAGTTTCGCCAATTTACTTCTTATCCTGTGTAAAAAGATTGCATAATCGGAAATTATCTAAAACTTGACCTCAACTTTTGTAAATGAAAAAGCAGCAGATAAATGATGTGTATTATATAATTGTCTAGTCTAATTTTTGCAATTTTTGTTTTAAAATTCAATCTAGATTGAATTACTGCTTCAATGAATAACTGTGACAACTGTTGACTATTAACTATTCTACTATTAAAGTCATTTTAATAATGCGATAATTCATTTTAAATGGAAATTTTATATTTTATACAGTTTAATAGTGAAGTGTGTTTTAGATTAAATTTTAATTAGGTGTTAATTTTAAAAAAAATTGTTCGAAAGTGTGACGTACTTTAGGGGGGGGGGGGGGTCCCGAAATTTGGGACAGTTTGGGACAGGGGGGGGGGGGTTAAAATGGTAAAAAATAGCTTGACGTACTTTATGGACGGCCCCATGGCTGCTTGTGGGCCCTTCAAGGTCGATCAACTCAGTGTCCATGTCTTGAGTCAAACCGAGCGAGTCGCTAGTAGGCCAATCAACAAACAAACAATTTATAAAAAATGTAGGCAATGATTTTTTTTTCTTAATTTTAATCAACATATGTATGGTTTATAATTGTTTGTGTAAATATATATCTTGAAAAAAAGCATTTTTTTTTTCATTATGCAATCATCCATTTCTATGTAGACATTATATAACTGAAAAACAACAACAATGGGTTTGTATAAGTATAAGGAAATAAATAAATGTATCTAAAAATACGTTAATTAAATAGGGAAAAAAAGTAATAAAATGTTAGACGCCAAAACAATGAAAATAGAGCAATCAATCCCATTAGAGAGCGGGGGGGGGGGGGGGGTGTGACCATCGTTGTCAGTGGTTGTACCGAGTGTCGAGTATTCTGTACCAGTCGCCGTTACAAAAACTTCAAGACGTTGTATTTTAGGTTCGTTCTCTAAGACGTCATATTTTAGGTTCGTTCTCCAAGACGTCATATTTTAGGTTCGTTCTCCAAGACGTCATATTTTAGGTTCGTTCTCCAAGACGTCATATTTTAGGTTCGTTCTCCAAGACGTCATATGTTTAGCTCGTTCTCCAAGACGTCATATGTTCAGCTCGTTCTCCAAGACGTCAAATTTTAAGCTCGCTCTCCAAGAAGTCATATTTTAAGCTCGCTCTCCAAGACGTCATATTTTAAGCTCGCTCTCCAAGACGTCATATTTTAAGCTCGCTCTCCAAGACGTCAAATTTTAAGCTCGCTCTCCAAGACGTCCTATTTTAAGCTCGATCTCCAAGACGTCCTATTTTAAGCTCGTTCTCCAAGGCGTCCTATTTTAAGCTCGCTCTCCAAGACGTCCTATTTTAAGCTCGCTCTCCAAGACGTCCTATTTTCAGCTCGCTCTCCAAGACGTCCTATTTTGTTAAACGACTCCAGAGTCCACAACCCGACAAATTTTTGTAGAGGTAAACAAAACTTTAAAAAACAAAATCATACTTCTGTCAATTCAAGCATCGAGTTAAAAAAAAAAAAATTAGGCGATTTGTCTCCACGTTGACATAAGGGTCTTATTTAAATGCCAGTTTCTTCTCTATTGTATTTGCGACATGTGTCTTCATCGTTCTTGTTAAAATAACGCTCTCATTTGTTTTAAAGCATCATCGCCTTGTTTTGATGATAGGTAGGGTGGGGGGGGGGAATTGATTTTTAAAAAAAAAAAGTTTTGAAAAAAATTAAAGCGTCTGAGACATATAATGTCTCATGATTACCTCGACTGTCTTTGCGGCTTGTAAATTAGGGCTGTACATATGGGGGAGTGCGTACACACACAAAAATACACCTATCTCTTCTAGTCTACATGAACCAAATAATAATAAAAATTTCAAAAATAGGATACACACTCAGACTGGTTATCTACCCCAAAGTCTGGGAACAATAAATTGAGGTTATGTGCAGAGTTTTAACGAAATAATAATAATTAATTAGAGTGAAAAAGAAACTAGCAGACTCTTATCAGTCCCAGACAGGATGCTGTTCAGAGGGAAGCCCGCTTCGGTCCTTTGTTGCAGGCTATCACTTGCAGGCAGCAGGTCTGGCTCGGCCCGCCGGCCAGGCCCATGAGCAGGATGATGGGGTCATTGAGGCACAGGTAACCCTGGGCCACACCCACATCGACGGCCGTAGTGACCTGGAGGTTGACGTCCTTGACCCAGTCCGGGTCTTTTCCTGGGAGGAACACCGGGTGGATGGCCCTGGTGGGGAGGAGGGATCATACAGGTCAGGGAGTGTGCACAAATGTTCATGTGTTTGGTAACACAGTTTTGGGGTGTGTACAAATGTTCATGTGTTTGGTAACACAGTTTGGGTGTGTGTACAAATGTTCATGTGTTTGGTAACACAGTTTAGGGGTGTGTACAAATGTTCATGTGTTTGGTAACACAGTTTGGGGTATGTACAAATGTTCATGTTTTTAGTAACACAGTTTGGAGGTGTGTACAAATGTTCATCTGTTTGGTAACACAGTTTGGGGGTGTGTACAAATGTTCATGTGTTTAGTAACACAGGTTGGGGTGTGTACAAGTGTTCATTTTTTAGTAACACAGTTTGGAGGTGTGTACAAATGTTCATGTGTTTAATAACACAGTTTTGGGGTGTGTACAAATGTTCATGTGTTTAGTAACACAGTTTGGGGTGTGTAAAAATGTTCGGGTGTTTAGTAACACCGTTTGGGGTGTGTACGAATGTTCATGTGTTTAGTAACACAGTTTGGGGGTGTGCATCAAAAGAAGGGCAGCTTTGACTCTATGTTAACTATTTTTTATTAAATTAAGACTTTCTACTTTTACCACCGATTTACACACTTGACACCAGATTTACATATTTACCCCAGATTTACACATCTGACCCCCGATTTACACATTTGACATCAAATTTACACATTTGACCCTAGATTTACACATTGAACAACAGATTTACACATTTTACACCAGATTTACACAGCCAGATTTACACAATTGACACCAAATTTACAAATATGATCCCAGTTTTATACATTTGATCCCAGTTTTACACATTTGACCCCAGTTTTACCATTTTAAAACCAGGTTCACAACTTTTACTATATTGGTGGTTTTACTTCGTGCTGACCCACGACGACGCGACGAGCATGCGTCATGGGCCTTTTTGGGCAGTTACCATCTCCGGTGTGCGGGGGGGGGGGGGCTCCGGGCCTTTCTTACTACCCCGTTCTTCCCGGGTTTCTCCGGGCCTTTCTTACTACACCGTTCTTCACGGGTTTTCATGTGCCAGCATGTCCCTGACTTCAGCATATGTCGTCACTAATGACGGTTAGCTGTTGCCGATAAAACAGGCTGTCAGCGGATGCGGTGTCCTAATTTTCAGGACATGAATGCTTTATGCTGAGCTGGACTAATGGTTTTTGTTGCCTGTTGGATGTCACGCAGCCGACAACCAGGTTTTTATTGATCCTACAACCCCAGCAGATGAACATCACACTGGGCTCTAAAAGTCTGCCTAGGGGTGTCCCTAAGCATTCAACCTGAGCAGATGAACATCACACTGAGCTCTGAAGGTCTGCCTACGGGTGTCCCTAAGCCTACAACCTGAACAGATGAACATCATACTGGGCTCTGAAGATCTGCCTACGGGTGTCCCTAAGCATACAACCTGAACAGTTGAACATCACACTGGGCTCTGAAGATCTGCCTACGGGTGTCCCTAAGCCTACAACCTGAACAGTTGAACATCATACTGGGCTCTGAAGATCTGCCTACGGGTGTCCCTAAGCCTACAACCTGAACAGTTGAACATCATACTGGGCTCTGAAGATCTGCCTACGGGTGTCCCTAAGCCTACAACCTGAATAGTTGAACATCACACTGAGCTCTGAAGGTCTGCCTACGGGTGTCCCTAAGCCTACAACCTGAACAGTTGAACATCATACTGGGCTCTGAAGATCTGCCTACGGGTGTCCCTAAGCCTACAACCTGAACAGTTGAACATCACACTAGGCTTTGAAGGTCTGCCTACGGGTGTCCCTAAGCATACAACCTGAGCAGATAAACATCACACTGAGCTCTGGAGGTCTGCCTACGGGTGTCCCTAAGCATACAACCTGAACAGTTGAACATCACACTGAGCTCTGGAGGTATGCCTACGGGTGTCCCTAAGCATACAACCTGAACAGATGAACATCACACTGGGCTCTGAAGGTCTGCCTACGGGTGTTCCTAAGCATTCAACCTGAACAGTTGAACATCATACTGGGCTCTGAAGGTCTGCCTACGGGTGTCCCTAAGCATACAACCTGAACAGATGAACATCACACTGGGCTCTGAAGGTCTGCCTACCGGTGTCCCTAAGCATACAACCTGAGCAGATGAACATCACACTGGGCTCTGGGGGTCTGCCTACGGGTGTCCCTAAGCATTCAACCTGAGCAGTTGAACATCACACTGAGCTCTGAAGGACATGCTAACGGTGTCCTTGAACCCAAGGGTTTGGAAAGGATTCTTTTTATTTTTTTTTACCGAGCTCCGCTTCAAGCTACGGTAATTCAAAAAGGGTTGATGTGGTTGAGTGGGCGCTAAGTGTTTAAACACATGTCGTTATGGTTGTACCTAACCCATCGCATGTACAGCAACATATCTTGAAGAAGAGTGGTTCAACATAGCTGGAAGCAGAGTGGGGAAACATAGCTGGAAGAAGTGCGGGTCAACATAGCTGGAAGGAGAGTGGGGAAACATAGCTGGAAGAAGTGCGGGTCAACATAGCTGGAAGCAGAGTGGGGAAACATAGCTGGAAGAAGTGTGGGGAAACATAGCTGGTAGAAGAGTGGGGAAACATTGTTGTAAACGCGTGGGGCAACATAGTTGCAGAAGAGAGGGGCAACATAGCTCCAAAAGAGAGGGGCAACATAGCGGCAGAAGAGAGGGGCAACATAGCTGTAGAGGAGTGGGGCGACATAGTTGTAAGAGAGTGAGGCAGAATAGATGTTAGAAGAGTGGGGCATCACTGTGGCATACATTTTATTTTTTTAAAAAAATCTAATTAGAAAGTTCAAGTTACATATTTTATAATTAATTGTGTGTTTTTTTAAAAATACGTTTTGGAGCTTGGCGCACAAAGAAATTTCACAGGCTCCCGCTCCGGGCAAAAAGTTCTGGCTCTAGAGCTACAGCTTCCAGTCCCGCTTCAAGGAACCTACAACTCGAGGCAGACAACCACGGCATTGGTCAAATGATGGACTTCCTACACGTTGCAGTTAACAATTACAATAATTATTTAATGTGTATGCTTTTGAACGACGACAACAACAAAAATACACTGTACACTACAACGTCATTGTGTTTATAATTAACATGTAGCAAAGCGTGCTAAGGTGTTTACTGTATTCATGCACTGTGGTGGCTACCTGTACAAAAGTAGCTGTTTAGCGGCGGATTCGTTGTGTGTGACCATTATGACCGGACACCTGGGCTTGTAGGTGGACACTAGGCTGGCTGTACGACCTGTTTCCGAGAGCACCACAATGGCGGCCGCCATGCACTGGTAGGATGCTTCCACTGCCGAGAGGGCGAGACTTTGGGCGGAGTCGGCAAACGTGGGAGTCAATGCCTTCAGTTCACGGAATATTTGTCGACTGGAAACAAATTTAGAGATGGGTGGGCAGCGACGGGATGACAGGCGGGCACCGATGGGATGACAGGTGGGCACCGATGGGATGACAGGCGGGCACCGATGGGATGACAGGTGGTTACCAGGGGATGACAGGTGGTTACCATGGATGACAGGTGGTTACCAAGGGATGACAGGTGGTTACCATGGATGACAGGTGGTTACCAAGGGATGACAGGTGGTTACCAAGGGATGACAGGTGGTTACCATGGGAGGACCGGTGGTTACCAAGGGAGGACAGGTGGTGACCAAGGGTGGTGGGCACCGATGGGAGGAGAGGCGGGCACCGATGGGATGGCAGGTGGTTACCAGGGGATGACAGGTGGTTACGATGGATGACAGGTGGTTACCAAGGGATGACAGGTGGTTACCATGGATGACAGGTGGTTACCAAGGGATGACAGGTGGTTACCAAGGGATGACAGGTGGTTACCATGGGATGACCGGTAGTTACCAAGGGATGACAGGTGGTTACCAAGGGATGACAAGGGGTTACCATGGGATGACAGGTGGTTACCAAGGGATGACAGGTAGTTACCAAGGGATGACAAGGGGTTACCAGAGGATGACAGGTAGTTACCAGGGGATGACAGGTGGTTACCATGGGATGACAGGTGGTTACCAAGGGATGACAGGTGGTTACCATGGGGTGATAGGTGGTTACCATGGGATGACAGATGGTTACCAAGGGATGACAGGTAGTTACCAAGGGATGACAAGGGGTTACCAGGGGATGACAGGTAGTTACCAAGGGATGACAGGTGGTCACCATGGGATGACAGGTGGTTACCAAGGGATGACAGGTGGTTACCATGGGATGACAGGTGGTTACCAAGGGATGACAGGTGGTTACCAAAGGATGACAGGTGGTTACCAAGGGATGACAGGTGGTTACCAAGGGATGACAAGGGGTTACCAGGGGATGACAGGTATTTACCAAGAGATGACAGGTGGTTACCAAGGGATGACAGGTGGTTACCAAGGGATGACAGGTGGTTACCAAGGGATGACAGGTAGTTACCAAGGGATGACAGGTGGTTACCAAGGGATGACAGGTGGTTACCAAGGGAAGACAGGGGGTTACCAAGGGATGACAGGTGGTTACCAGGGGAAGACAAGGGGTTACCAGAGGATGACAGGTAGTTACCAGGGGATGACAGGTGGTTACCATGGGATGACAGGTGGTTACCAAGGGATGACAGGTGGTTACCATGGGATGATAGGTGGTTACCAAGGGATGACAGGTGGTTACCAAGGGATGACAGGTGGTTACCAAGGGATGACAGGTAGTTACCAAAGGATGAAAGGTGGTTACCAAGTGATGACAGGTATTTACCAAGGGATGACAAGGGGTTACCAAGGGATGACAGGTATTTACCAAGAGATGACAGGTGGTTACCAAGGGATGACAGGTGGTTACCAATGGATGACAGGTGGTTACCAGGGGATGACAGGTGGTTACCAAGGGATGACAGGTGGTTAACAAGGGATGACAGGTGGTTACCAAGGGATGACAGGTAGTTACCAAAGGATGACAGGTGGTTACCAAGGGATGACAGGTAGTTACCAAGGGATGACAGGTGGTTACCAAGGGATGACAGGTAGTTACCAAGGGATGACAAGGGGTTACCAGGGGATGACAGGTGGTTACCAGGGGATGACAGGTGGTTACCATGGGATGACAGATTGTTAATATATGATGAGAGACGTGTAGCATCAACAGTACATACGTGTTGAAGACCGACTCCGCCTCCAAACAAATGGATGCCATGTGGGACACGGCTTCAACTGGATACAAGCCTACAACAATAGTAAACAGTACAATAGAAAACCATACAATATAAATTGTATTTCTGTTGAAGGCATTGAAGATGTTTCAATTCAGCTTTATATAATTAGAGAGAATAGATGGCAATTAACTCAACTCTGTGGCTCATCTTAGCGACTCCTCACCTAGCTGGACACAATATGGCTCCCCTTTGTCCGAATCCCCAGAACACATGACACCCTCTGACCTAATGTGACTCACCTTTAGCAGATTCGATAGACAGCGAGACACACTCAGATGCAATGATGATCGCCTTCATTAGATTCCAAAGACAACACGAAACCCTAAGACACACTGTGGCTCACCTTTAGAAGTTTCACCAGACAACTTGACACAGGTAAACTGTGGATCATCTACGGTGGATTTCAGAGATAGCAGGACATGGTCAGACCCAATTTGGCTCACTGTTAGCGGATTCCACAGCCAGCAGGACACACTCAGACTTACTTTGGCTCACCTTTAGCAGATTCCCCAGACAACAGGACACACTCAGACACACTGCGGCTCACCTTTAGCAGATTCCCCAGACAACATGACACAGTCCGCCCCGTCCAGTACGGCGTTGGCCACATCCGCAGTCTCAGCCCGTGTGGCCCTCGGCTTGTACGTCATACTCTCCAACATCTGCGTGGCGCAGATCACCGGCTTCGCGGCCTTGTTACAGGCGGAGATCATGAGCTTCTGGGCGATGAACACCTTGCCGTGGTGGAAACAAAACAACCCTCATGTCAGTCACGCATTTCTAACTTGTATACGAATTCATGTCGTCTCAACTGATGCTATGGTCAAAACATTTATCTAACGATGACATCTCCAATGTGATGGTCACATTACCATCATCTTAATTTCAAGAGCATTCATTCAACAGGGCTTGTCATTTAATGGCGTAAATCTATTATTAGAACTGCTGTAATCATCCGGGTACTCGGGTCGAAAAAATGTCAACACCTTTATGTACTACTATGCTAGCGAAGTGTCTCTGAACGGCAAACAATTGTTAACATTACTGAAACGTCTGCACCTTGAACATTTGCGTGCGTTTGTAAACTGTGCATAGCTCCAGTCGACACGTGTTCTCGGTCGTGAAAAGAAAGATTCGTTCGACATGCAGTTGGTGTTGCAAATGTTTCTCGACGGAGGAAAACGTACTCCAGCTGTCCATTATTTTCGCTCGTACCTAAGTAATGACGTGATTGTAATCAGGAGCCGTGTATGAAAAAAGGTGGCAGACAAGTCCAAGAGAGATTTAATTAGACGGCACCAAGTAGCACAGTTATGCCGTCAATCGTTACGAAATTTTGCCGATGTGGAAGTATATTATGTCAGCGGAAGAGGAAGTTTTTTCTATAATGAGGACCCCGCTCATGTTCTCCAGAAGGTGCTGTGTTGGACCCTATGAAGTTTACGAGGAGCATGTGTCAAACTGAACATCGGAAATACGTTCATTCAACGATTGTTTAAAGACATAGATGCATTTCCGCACCGGAAAAAGTTGGACAACGCTTGGCGCAGCTACTTTTCTTTTGCGAGCCATGATGATGTATTGGTGGAAATTTCTGACTATGCGATCCAAATATGAAGATCCATATGTGTATAGGAATGACTGATTCTCCCACGGAAGTAACATTCACTTGCAGCTCGATTAGTCTTTTCCTTCCGCTGATAGAGTTCTTTTCCAGAACCGTTTGACTTAGTGACAGAGTACCTCTCCAGAGCTGTTTGACTTAGTGACAGAGGACCTCTCCAGAGCCGTTTGACTTAGTGACAGAGTACCTTTCTGGAGCAGTTTGACTTTGTGACAGAGTACCTTTCCAGAGCCGTTTGACTTAGTGACAGAGTACCTTTCTGGAGCAGTTTGACTTAGTGACAGAGTACCTTTCCAGAGCCGTTTGACTTAGTGACAGAGTACCTTTCCAGAGAAGTTTGACTTAGTGACAGAGTACCTTTCCAGAGCAGTTTGACTTGGTGACAGAGTACCTTTCCAGAGCAGTTTTACTTAGTGACAGAGTACCTTTCCAGAGCAGTTTGACTTAGTGACAGAGTAACTTTCCAGAGCCGTTTGAATTGGTGACAGAGTACCTCTCCAGAGCAGTTTGACTTAGTGACAGAGTACCTTTCCAGAGCAGTTCTACTTAGTGACAGAGTACCTTTCCAGAGCCGTTTGACTTAGTGACATAGTACCTCTCCAGAGCCGTTTGACTTAGTGCCGTCTGTCACAAATGACTGGGGCGGGGGTATAGGACAGAGCTCCATTGTTGTTAAGGTAACTTATAGGATGGAAGGAAACTGCTGTTAATGGGGTTAAGTTAAGGTTGAATAGACTCTCACATCTTGATATAGTGGGGATTGTTTCTTTGGATAATAGTATGTTCGGGTTTTCCAGACTTCGCATGATAATTTTTGGATTAACAATGGGAAGGTCTAATTGACCGGAAATTAGGGGGCATGGGTGTGTTTATAGATAGCATTCCTGGACCACCTATAGGGGGGTAGAGGACCACATATAAGAGGGAGCTTTCACTGAGTTGAGTTAGTTGAGGGAGAGTGAACAGAGGTACGACGAGTTGAGGAAGAGGGAAAGGAGCGACAGTAGTTAGTTGAGGAAGATAGAGAAGAACTACGGATTAGTTGAGGAAGAGAGAGAAAAGAGCTACGATAGAACTGAGCAGTTGTTAAGGAATACTTGATAGAGACCAGAAGACGACAGATGATAGAAGAAACTTATATCTTAGAAATAAACATACTTTCATTAACGTTGGACACCTGGAGTTTGAGTTGTTGCATTTCGTCCAAGTCTACGTTGTGCTTTTGTCTGTCTCAACGCCTAGACACCAACAATATAAATCACAGAGAGGAGTGGTCCTGTACTGACCACTACTAAGTCAACATAGTTTGTGTTAAGTCAGGACCGGAGCCCTCCTCCGTAACAACCGTTCTGTGACACCGTCTTTAAGTATTATTATCTCTCTTGAATTCTTTTCCCACCATTTCCGTTCGTTAATGTAGGAGTGAAAATATTGCTCGACTTTGATATCAATACTTATTCCCTCGTGGAGAAACCCATTTCCAATAGCAACAACTATCCAGCATATCTTTCTTTTCACTATGTTTAATGGCGGTTTGAGCTTTGTACCGTTGAAAAACACATGTACTGTCCGAAATACGGGTGTTCCAGTGCTGCTAGTTTTCGGCGCATGAAGTATATTATGGCCACATCCTAATTGTAACTGTCACATGATCTATTATATATGCAATCTATGTAAAGTTCACTTCTTATGCTGTCAAAGAGATAATAATCATGATTTTATTATATTTTTTTCCCTAGTGATTAATAGTATCAGTTGTGACTACGTCCTGACTTAGTAAAGCCCAGCTAGTTTCTTTCTCACCTTTTCCGGGGGTATCTCAATGCCCATGTCTCCTCTGGCCACCATGGCGCCATCACACTCCTGAAGGATTTCCTCAAAGTTGTAGATGCCCTCAAAACTTTCTATCTTGGCGATGATCTTAATATGTTTGCCCTTATCCCCGAGAACTCTGCGAATTTCCTTAATCCCTGCCCCGTCTCTGCAAAGAAATCCAAAACAAACTAATTCATTTTATGAATGACTTTTTAATGATAGATCCGGTGTCATGAGACTAAAAGACTAAAGATGTTTGACTTACAATTAAATGTGCATAGTCTTTTTTCATTTAAAACACGTCATAGGATTTTTGTTTCTTGGTGTGTAATAAGAAAATGTATTTAAATGATGTACAGATCAAGTACGGTACGCACTGAATGAGCTATGCAAATAATCAGGTACTCACTGAATGAACTATGCAAATAATCAGATACTTTTTGAATGAAGGAAGCAAATATCAGGTACTCACTGAATGAACTATGCAAATAATCAGATACTTTTTGAATGAAGGAAGCAAATATCAGGTACTCACTGAATGGACTATGCAAATAATCAGGTACTCACTGAATTAAATATGCAAATAATCAGGTACTCACTGAAAACTATGCAAATAATCAGGTACTCACTGAATGAACTATGCAAATAATCAGGTACTTACTGAATGAACTATGCAAATGATCAGGTACTCACTGAATGAACTATACAAATAATCAGGTACTCACTGAATTAAATATGCAAATAATCAGGTACTCACTGAAAACTATGCAAATAATCAGGTACTCACTGAATGAACTATGCAAATAATCAGGTACTTACTGAATAAACGATGCAAAAACCATGTCAACATTTTGTTCTAAACCAAATAACAAATCTTGTTTGTCCTTTTCTGAAACGGGGGGCAAGTCGACAGGTGTTCCCGGTAGATTACAACCCTGACGAGAAGATATTATAGGATATGCTAAAACCATTGACCAGATGTAGTGGTGTATCTAGGGTAAACGTCGCCCATGGCCGGCCAACCTTTACCCCTTAAACAATAAAACACTGTGAAGTTGGCCAAAAATGCCGCTCATTTTATTTAGATTGGTGAGAAAGTAGAGCTAATTCTAATCTGTATTTTCAGACTCACAGAACTGGAATAAACAGATTTTTTTTTTAAATTGTAAAACAAAACTTTCTATCAAAAAACGAGTTGAAAAGCACTAAAAAAAAGAAAAGAAAATATCCTTAAATTTCTTAAAAGGCATGGCGTAAAGAAAGACTGTAAGGAAATGCGAGTAAATAGAAAGCCTTAAAAGAAAAATAAGCTCCACAATAAAGATGGAAAAGAGAGTATTATAGAGAGAAAGCCATTAATAATTTAAAAGGACAAGCGGTCATGTAAGCTATATATTCAACGAATGACGGCTAATTTTGTCACGATAGAATAAAATAAAAAAATAACCTCGCATCTATCCACATTGCACTGCTCCCCTCTACTCGTTAAACCTAATATCTCCATTTAAATCTCATTTATTTCACCTATCACTTAAATTACATCACAAATTGGCCGTGCTGTACCTTCTTACTGCCGAGTTTGCCGCCATTGACGATGTAGCACTTGAAGAAGTCGGTTCCCTTCTCGGTGACTTTGAGCGAGATCAGACCGTCATCCACGTAAATGATGGACCCCTCGGACAAGACGTTGGTGATGTTCTTATAGTCGACCCACACGATAGATTTGGAGCACTTCTCCTTGTAGTCGTCATTAATTGTGACAGTGATACTGTCACCTTACATATGGAACATAAGATATTGTTATATTTGGGGTAACCTTTGCTGCCAATTACATACGGAACATAATATATTGTTACATTTGGGGGTAACCATTGCTGCCACCTTACATATGGAACATAAGATATTGTTACACTTGGGGTAACCTTTGCTGCCACCTTACATATGGAACATAATATATTGTTACATTTGGGGTAACCTTTGCTGCCACCTTACATATGGAACATAAGATATTGTTACATTTGGGGGTAACCTTTGCTGCCACCTTACATATGGAACATAAGATATTGTTACATTTGGGGGTAACCTTTGCTGCCACCTTACATATGGAACATAAGATGTTGTTACATTTGGGGGTAACCATTGCTGCCACCTTTAAAACGGATAATGCATATCTTTTTTTTAACATAATGAATGCTACGATGGCACCTTTAGAGTAGATTACAGTGATGATTGGTACATAACGGGCAGTGATAATTCTTTACAGGAATATTTTAAACATTATATATTTTTTCTTTCATTTAGTTTGCCATTGCGTTTAAATAGTTATTGGTATGTTATTTTAATTTTTTTCCTTTAAATTGTGTGTGTGTGTGGGTAGGGGGGGGGGCTTTAATTACATATTTATTTCCTCAAAACGTAAATAAAAACCTCAGAAGATGTATCTGGGTTATAGAGTACTAGACTAAGAGAAGATGTCGTGACGAATTTTTCTTCTTTTTCACTTCGAGGAAAAACTTAAGTAAACAGTTCATTTGGAACTTTCAACTGCGTCACTGCATTTTTCTTTAACGTTTTAAACAACTTGTGATGGACAAGTGCTACTGAACCTCTGTCACTGAAAGACTGGACCACCAACATTTTCATTTCCATACATATGAACATGATAGATTTCCTCTTAAGACCTCTGGTCTTTTGGGTTTTTCCTTTTAATTTTTCTTCAGAGACTCTCGGCTGTTCACATAGCGATTTAATGGAGAGGCTATCCAAGTAACTTAGCGTGTTAACACCGCTGTGGTGCGCTCTGTGGAATCCGGAACTGCCTCTTCCGCGCATGTCACCCAAACCTATACCGAGTAAAGTGGAAGTCTTTGTACCTTCAGCTCTGGTTTCTCTCAGTAAACCATCTGTCCGTACGGTGCATCACACAATCGACCGGGACTAAACGTCCCGGAATAACCCCACGGCGCATCACACAAACGACAGGGACAACGCGTTCCGGAATGACCCCCAGCTTTATGCATCGCACTACCTCACCTGTCGTCAGTTCAACCTCGTCTGATGCCCCGCCCTCTAGCAGGCCCGTCCTGATCTCAGGTCCTTTGGTGTCCAGTGCCACGGCCACCACCGTCCCCCGGGGAAGCTGGGCGGCGGCCTCCCTCACGTTTCGGACCGTCCCGGCGTGGTAGTCGTAGCTGCCGTGCGAGAAGTTGAGACGGACGATGTTCATGCCGGCCTTCATCAGCTTGAGGAGCATGTCAACCTGTGGAGAAACAGGAAAGACTACAGATTCATAAGATTGGGGAGCATGTCCACCTGTGGAGAAATGGGAAAGACTACAGACTCATAAGATGGGGAGCATGTCCACCTGTGGAGAAACAGGAAAGACTACAGATTCATAAGATTGAGGAGCATGTCCACCTGTGGAGAAATGGGAAAGACTACAGATTCATAAGATTGGGGAGCATGTCCACCTGTGAAGAAACAGGAAAGACTACAGATTCATAAGATTGAGGATCATGTCCACCTGTGGAGAAATGGGAAAGACTACAGATTCATAAGATTGGGGAGCATGTCCACCTGTGGAGAAATGGGACAGACTACAGATTCATAAGATTGGGGAGCATGTCCACCTGTGGAGAAATGAGAACGACTACAGGTTCATAAGATTGGGGAGCATGTCCACCTGTGGAGAAATGGGACAGACTACAGATTCATAAGATTGGGGAGCATGTCCACCTGTGGAGAAACAGGAAAGACTACAGATTCATAAGATTGGGGAGCATGTCCAGCTGTGGAGAAATGGGAACGACTACAGGTTCATAAGATTGGGGAGCATGTCCACCTGTGGAGAAATGGGAAAGATTACAGGTTCATAAGATTGGGGAGCATGTCCACCTGTGGAGAAATGGGAAAGATTACAGGTTCATAAGATTGGGGAGCATGTCCACCTGTGGAGAAACAGGAAAGATTAAAGATTCATCAGCTTGATGAGCATGTCCACCTGTGGAGAAACAGGAAAGACTACAGATTCGTCAGCTTGAGGAGCATGTCCACCTGTGGAGAAATGGGAAATACTACAGATTTATCAACTTGAGGAGCATGTCCAGCTGTGGAGAAACGGGAAAGACTACAGATTCATCAGTTGGGGAGCATGTCCACCTGTGGAGAAACGGGAAAGACTACAGATTCATAAGATTGGGGAACATGTCCAGCTGTGGAGAAATGGGAAAGACTACAGATTCATCAACTTGAGGAGCATGTCCAGCTGTGGAGAAACAGGAAAGACTACAGATTCATCAGCTTGATGAGCATGTCCACCTGTGGAGAAACGGGAAAGACTACAGATTCATCAGCTTGGGGAACATGTCCAGCTGTGGAGAAATGGGAAATACTACAGATTCATCAACTTGAGGAGCATGTCCAGCTGTGGAGAAACAGGAAAGACTACAGATTCATCAGGTTGGGGAGCATGTCCAGCTGTGGAGAAATGGGAAAGACTACAGATTCATCAGGTTGGGGAGCATGTCCAGCTGTGGAGAAACAGGAAAGACTACAGATTCATCAGGTTGGGGAGCATGTCCAGCTGTGGAGAAACAGGAAATACTACAGATTCATCAACTTGAGGAGCATGTCCAGCTGTGGAGAAACAGGAAAGACTACAGATTCATCAGCTTGATGAGCATGTCCAGCTGTGGAGAAATGGGAAATACTACAGATTCATCAACTTGAGGAGCATGTCCAGCTGTGGAGAAACAAGAAAGACTACAGATTCATCAGGTTGGGGAGCATATCCACCTGTGGAGAAACAGGAAAGACTACAGATTCATCAGCTTGGGGAGCATGTCCATTCATGAAGAGAAACAGGAACGACTACAGAGTTTTAGACAAAAAATCCAGGGTATCGTCAAGTCTTTCGAAAAAAACAATTTAATCCATAAGTCAAGACTTAAACCAAAACAACTCACGCGGTCAAATTATTATCGACCAACATTTTTTTAACGGACGAATGGTAGACAGTAGTTAATAAGATCAAATTTATTGATGATTTCATAGTGATAATTGTTCAATAACTAATTGTAAGTTGTAATTGTACGTAAACTTCAAGTAATTAAACAATAATTATATGTTGTTGTTGTTGTTGTGGTGGTTTGTTAGTGTAACTCCTTTCTTCTTCCTTGTCATTCCAACTCCCAGTTGAGCATACGCCATTAACAATTAAATTCTTCCCGAGACTACGGGTCTCTTGCTATCTAAAGCTTTCCAATATTTATTAAATAGGACTCGATATGGCAAGGTGTGCTTTTTTTTTGTTTTGTTTTTTTTAGTTTTTGTTTGTTTGTTGTTTTTTTTTGTTGTTGCGGGGTGTCTTCCTCCTCCTTGTAATATTTAGCATCGGGTTTTCTCATGGTACGACCTAACCATCTCCATCTTTCCCCGGATTTCTTGCTCCACTGGATTGTGAAACCACTTGATGTTAAGGCTTTTACACATCCAACTATTTATGTAGGTTTACAGTCTTTTCCTATCGTTTTTTTGGTTGATCTAAATCTTTCTGAACCATACAGCAGAACAGAATTTACAGTTCAGTTTAAAATTATAGTTTTTATTTTTCTCCTTGCTTGCCTAGAGTTCCAAAGATAACTTCAATTACAGCAAAAAGCTTCTCGTTCCTCCACTATTCTTGCCTTGATCCTTCCACCTCCCACCCCCAACCCCCGTCCTTACTAACTATACTTCTAAATTGATCTACCTCTCAGAGGGCTTTCCCTCTTATCGCTACAACATCTAAGCTATCTGCATTAGTTTATTCTCATGACTTCAGTTTTGTTTTCAAGTACCGAAAGTCCAATCTGTCTGGCAAATGAATCGAGCTTTGCAGTTTTATCTTGCATTTGTTGGGTGGCTTTGGGATAAAAGGGTGATGTCATCTGTAAAATCCAGGTCTTCCAATTGATTTAAACTTAGATGAGTTGAGAAAGGGATAAACTAGTTACATTTTTCCCCCTGATATATTCTTAGTTTTATTTATTACCTGGGTGAGGCGGCGGATTGGGGGGGGGGGCGGGGCTAAATGAAACATAAATGGATCCCCAAACGTATGTGTCATAACAATACTATGTATATTGATCAACATCCGTGTCTGTTGTGATTGTTCGTGATTGCAGATTGGACTGGGTTGAGGTTAAAGGATGGGAAGTTTAAAAAATTAAAATCCCTATGATTTGGGGGGGGGGGGGGGGGGGGGGGGGGGGGGGGGGGGCTAAATGAAACATAAATGGATCCCCAAACGTATGTGTCATAACAATACTATGTATATTGATCAACATCCGTGTCTGTTGTGATTGTTCGTGATTGCAGATTGGACTGTGTTGAAGTTAAAGGATGGGAAGTTTAAAAAATTAAAATCCCTATGATTAACGAGCCTCAGTTAATTGATATCATTGTTCTTGTGTCTTTTTATTTTTAAAAAAAAAATTTAACTTTTGGTTGTCCGCATTGTCGTAACTTTTGTTGATGTCTCTTATATATATTTCTCTTCTGGTGTGGCTGCTTCCTATATTCACAACCAGTCCTCCCCTTACTAAGCATGTTTTATATTAATAGTACTGAGTGATTATTTTAAAAAAAAATGCTGTATAGCAGAGAGCGTCATGCGTGACGGTTGAACCCAGGTAAGAAGGTTACATTTTTTCGGAGGTGGCTATTATATAAATCAATAAAGAGCCACGGGTATGGCGTAGGATTTTCTGTAGGACTGTCTGTAGGGCCATTGTTTAAAGACCGACATGTAGGGTGTAGGACTGTCTGTAGGGCCATTGTTTAAAGGCCAGCAGGTTGGGTGTAGGACTATCTGTATGGCCATTGTTTAAAGGCCGCCAGGTTGGGTGTAGGACTATCTGTATGGCCATTGTTTTAAGGCCGCCAGGTTGGGTGTAAGACTAACTGTAGTATTATTGTTTACAGATAGTCTTTTATTATTGAAATGTTTTTTTTTTTTTTAGTTCCCCCCCCCCCCCCCCCCGTTGAGCCCTTGTTCATTATATAATTCAGTAACTGGCTAGCGGGGGGCAGAGTACCTCTCGAGATGCCGGACCGATGGTGCAGACTATATGCGTCAGTCGACATGTGCTGGTTTTCGAGTCGATGTCCAAGCTTGTGTTGTGCTCCAGTAAGCTGTCACGCACAAAAGCCTTCAGCTGTTGCTGTTTGGGAAATTCCACGGGTGAGGTGACGATTTTGGCCATTCTTTTTTTTTTACGGTCTGTCTGTATGACTGTCGCCAAGCAAGACCCCCTCCTTACTTCTGTCGACGCACTCAACAAAACTTCCGTTTAACACAGTTCTGGGACAAGAAGGATAATTAATTAAAATCGGGAATTCCATCTAGTTATTTAAACGCCACGATTCCTTTTTCAAAAATGTGATGGAACTTTGATGTAAATGTGCAGATAAATCGCCTACTATAATGACTGGTACTGCGTTTAGGATAAAGCATTAGAAAATATAAGACACAGATTTGAGGAATATATATATATATATATATTTAAATATGTATTACAGTGACGTCACTCCGGTGAATATCATGTGACGCTATTGTTGAAGTTAAAAACTGTTTTTACATGGTTTCATTTTTTTTTTTAAAGGCACAACTTTATTTTATCACAGTTATTAAATCCACGGAGTTAGCTTTCTTCAGTTATAAAACTGTTCCCTGTCCTTCCTCGACCCCTTAAAAAAAAACTGACACACACACACAGACACACAGAACTCTTTGTCTGAATTGTCTCGTCCTGAAGCCGAGACGAAGGTAAAGGTCGATCCCTCGCGCATGTGACCCGTCGGCTTGCCATTCGTTCCTTGGTGAGCTCCGTTGGAATCTCTAGCATCGTGTCCCCTTTACGCTAGAGGTTACTCACAGTAGGGGGTCCTTGGGATTTCTTGATGTCATCCGGGGGATTCATCCGGATCTGTCAACGGTTGTGTTAGTGTTGCCCCCTGCGGAGGTATTCGGAGGCATTAGGGAACGGGTCTCACGTCTTTGGGACGCAAGAATCATCAAATTTTGGAGGGGGAAAAAAACAAGAAAGAAAAAAAAAAAAAGAAAAAGAGGTCTGCAAATACATTTCAAAGTTATTCATTATAAAATAATATGATTTTTTTTTTTTAAATATGTATCTTTTCTAATAATGCCTGTGTAACGTAACTTTTTCAAGATAAGACATTAAAATGTTGGGAATCACTGTAAAACATTCAAAGCGATATATATAAAAAAAAAAATTGATTGACTTTTATATCGTTTCGTTGCTGTTTCATTGTCTACGTTTTTTTTCCTTTGTTTTTTGTTTTCTTCTCGAGACAGTTATAACTGTCAACACTATCCTAGTTACAAAGACTCTAGATGTTTTGGTCACTCAAATTGACTGACATTTGGTTAAACGGGTTCTATATGCTGATTAGTTAAGATACAATCAACATTGTCCATTGTATGGCTAAGGCAAATCTGCTCAGAGCTNCCCCCCCCCCCCCCACTTTTTAAATATTTTCTGATCCGGCAATAGATTGTTTCCAGTAAATGTTTTAGAGTCAATAAAATAAGGATCTTAGTGAATTGAAATAAATCTTAATGGAACCTGCTTGAAGAAATTCTCTCAGAAATTAAAAGCTAAAAAGTGACATTTTAATTATTGTGTGAGCCAATATCCTTCAGTCCCAGCGATGTGGGAATCTAGTTATAGCACCGTTCCCTGATTTTAGAGTCATGAAAACAAAAATACCTGGTCGCAGTGGCGTAGCGAGACATTGTACCCCCTAGGGACGGACTTTCAGCTTCCCCCTCCCACCAAGAGAACAATACAAAAAAATATATAAAATGATTTTTTGCACAGTGTAGCCTGTAAATAAAAATCATTGAAATAGCGCTGTACCTGATTTAAACACTAAATAATTTGGAGGGGAGGAGAAGAAGCTCAAGGGCGCCGAGGGCTTCCAAGCGAAAGTGGTTGCAGGGGGCTCATTGAGCCCCCCCCCCCCCCCCCCCCCTAAAAAAAAATATTGATGAATTAAAAATACAAGGATTCATTTTGGCACACACCCGCATTTAGTTTTGTGTCAATCTACTTTAATCTAAGACCAACTGAGAAATACCATGATTTTTTAAACTGTTATTAAATAGTAATGTGGTTTTATAATATGTATTTAAACTGTTTAAAAAGTTGTAAAATATTTCTTCAAACTTCTTCATTACTAAATGAATTTTTTTTTAAAGGTGCTGATACCACTTACCAGCTCTTACTGTCACAACATAATGAATATATAATCCTACCTGGATGCGTGGAGTGAGTTGTGGCCCTGAGTTATATTAGGATCAGGGCCGTAATGGCTAAAGAGGTGTTTGTCATACCTGGTGGGTTATTTATTTATTTATTTTTTTTTGGTGGTTGGGGGGGGGGGGGGGAGTTAAAAAAAAAAAAAAAATAATTGTAATAGGGTCCTGGGTGGCCGAATGATCTAAACTGAGCGAATTTCAAGTTGGTGGTCTGGAGCTCATTTCCAGCCAAAACCCCAAGCAAAAAAAAAAATCACCCCGGGTGGATGGGACTCGTTAACCTTGGAAGGCAACTCATCTAAGAGAAGGGAACTCTGAATTCAAACCCGGATAACATTGGTACAATGAAACATTCCGACAACTCCTGCGACGCCACTGGTGCCAAGCTGTATCATCCACATCTATGGCGCAGCTAGTGGGTGCGGGCCACACCGGGTGTCACCATCTCAGGGGTAGACACCCAATTGAAAAATTGCATATTTGCAGCGCGCAGACTGCTCGGTCCAACTGATTTTCATATAAGGATAACCAATCACAAGGAAATTCCTACACATGTAACCAATCCAAATGCGTGCTTTATTAAATTGCATATGTTGCTGTGTCAGAAATGAGGTGACCTCATAATTAGGTCAGAAAAACGCCGTTTAAAAATGACGTTTTAACCATTTATATGGTTAACCAATGGCGTAGCTAGGAGGGTGCGGGGGTGGTGACCACGGGGGGGTGACATCAAATTTAAAATTGCATATTTGCAGAGCACACACCGCTTGGTCTAACAGAGCACACACTGCTCGGTCTAACAGAGCACACACCGCTTGGTCTAACGAAATTTTAAAAAGGATAACCGATAAAACGTAAATTTTTAAAACTTGTAACAAATCGCAATGATGCGTCAGAAGCACCGTTTTAACCAGTTGTCGAGTATGGGCGTTCATTAGTAATTGTTGCGACTCAATATTATGTTCATTAGTTGTTGAACGCTTTTCCCGCGCTTGACTATTATAGTTAGTGAACGCTCTTCCCGCCATTGTCTTTATGACGTATTTTTATGCTGAGTCGTGACGTATTGTCTATGCAGTGTTGTGACGTATGTTTTAGTCGTGCGGCAGTCTTGAGTGGAACCTTGGAGTGATAGGATGTTTATTATATTTACTTAGATATTAAAGTTATAGTTATTATGAAAAGGAGTTGAGTTTGTTAATTGATAGTGAGAATAGTACGACGCTTCAACGTATGAAAGAACTGACGAATGTAATCAATCCAAGAAGACGTGTAGGAGTTGACACCAGTATTCAACGCCGATGGAAGTGTTTGGTAACTTTCATAGATGACAGGAAGCAACATTATCTAAATTCTAAGAAATAAAGCTATCCACTGAAACCAAATATGACATGATCTGGCGATTCTAATTTAATGAATCGAATCGGTAAAATTAAAAACATTTCAAATGAATTTTTACACCTTTTTAGGGTCAACAAAATAATGTTTTACAAAATTTCTAATAACTTTCAATAATTAATTTTAATTTATTTAAGAGGGGAGAGATGCGTGTGTGCATTGCTCGCGTTCATTCTGAGCTTCAGATCAGTGATCTAGGAAGTAGCATATATGTTTGGGGCTGTTCAGCTCAAGAGTCTACTATCAGCACGTGAAGAAGAGTTATTGGTGTCTGTTCCAAAATTAACCTCTTTCTATGATGAGTTATCAGAGGATTAACTTTTTAAAAAGAAATACCATGGCTTAGAAGACACTAAAGGCGGCTGATATGGAATTTCACAAATTAAAGGACTGGTCAGTATTTGATGTTTTGAAATTCATAGCTGAATGGGGCTTCCTAGAATCTCTTCCAATACTCACGCTAAGCCTTTAATTGTTTTACGATCTGTCTTTCTGTGGCTTCATGTGAGCGGAGCTTTTCAAAACCCTGACCTGTTTACGCCCCACCACGGGATAGTTAAGGCTTTCTGATCTGGCTCTACTATCAGTTGAAAGTGATATGGTGAAGGATGTTGAATTTGATCATGTGATTGACAGATTTGCAACTTTGAAGACCAGGAAACGAACTTTTTTTTAATATAGAAATGCGATGTAAAAATAACTATAATTTTAAGTTGTTACTTTTTCTTCTTCTATATTTTGAGGGCTCACGATCAATGTATTGATCATTATGGCTCCTATAAATTTTTAATACATTTCTTAAATACATTTACATCCTAACTTTAACTAATTTGGTTTTGTTCTTGTCATTGTTATACTGTGGACTTATTTTAACTATAACAAATCAGTCTCGGAAGTCTGGGTGGGGGTGGGGTGGACACCATGAGTTTACAGCACCGAGTGACACCGACCCCAGCAACGCCACTGATCCACATGATGTTCCCTTGGGTTAAACAGCGGCGTGGGGAGGGGCGATTTGCTGTTGGGAACCAGCTTATAATCCTAGAAGAATAATCCCAGGCCTTGAAGATTTCGTCCTGCGATGTCTTCACCATCGTCACATTGTGATGGACGGATGCCAGGGAAAAAAAAATTGTAAGCTTTGATAGGGTATTTTGGTTCGACGTTTTATTCCGTCTTCTTTATTATTGTCATCGAACTATTTGTTCAATCCTTTTAGCCCAGGGAGCTAAAGGGGCCCGAGCCCTGGCGTAGTACAATCACTATATATGGACACTGAATAGACAGCTATGTGTCCCTTTGATGACTGTATCCAGTGCTTCAAACATCATAATCCGAACTTGCATCATAATAAGGAAAAATTAGAGTGCAGACACATGACAATGTTCAAAAGCATAGTCGCAGTGTTGGATTTACTATAAAACCAATGGAAACTATGTCTTTTTTTTTTGTAAACAAATCCCCTGGGATGACATACAATTAAATCATTGAAATTATATTTAAAAATACTATAGAGATTTATTGAACTTAGATTAATGATAACCTATACGATTATATGCATAAAATAACAA